TAAATGAAGAATAGGCTGGATGGCTTTATATCAAAGGCGTTAAATCTCTACAAAAAAAAGAATAGCATGAAATCAATGATCTTATGTGATCATTGCATATAATGGAACGTTTGTATTACACAATTAATATTCATTCAAATGTAATATTAAAAAAAATTATATGATGTATGTCCTGTAATACAAGGACGCAATATAGTTTTTATATTTGTACTGTTAATTAATTAATAAAATTAATTAATTCTTTAATTAAAGAACAAAAAAAAATTGTTGAACATTTGTCGTTTAAAATAAAAATAAGTGCACGTTAAACTGATTTAATCATGGCCAGCTTTAGATTTTACAAAGAAAATACTCTGTATTCTTCCGTGCCGAGTCAGTGACTATGAAACTTGTAAAGGATTCGAAACGTTCATTTGTTTGCCCGACGAAAATCTAAATTTGAAAAAAAATTAGTTTCATTTCCTTTATCAAATAATATTTCAGGATATTATACTCGAATATTAAGTAATATTCTAAAACATTTAAATAACAGAAATTGCCACCGTAGGTAAATAAAACTAAGTTGAAAATTACCCTTTTGCTCTTATAACGTTTTGTACCAAAAGGACTGCCACTTAATTTTAATTTAGTTATATAGGAAATGAAACGTTTCGGGCCCCACTTCCTCCATGATGTTTATGAAACTAACACGTAACGGACACTGGCAGACTTGAGACAATAAATTGGTCTCACAAGCCATTCATTAAGGAAAAAGAATTTTTACATCGAAAATTCCTTAGAATAATAACGCATAGAAACCTAGTCCGCACACGCTAAGTGAGGCAAATTGAAGCGCGCCCAATGGGCCTACACGAGCGGGCGGGCCTTCAGTGCTCAAGGTCAACTTGCACCGCGAACAGATCAAGAATTTTAGCTAAAAATGACGAAATGTGCGGTAAATGAGTGTAAAAATACGTCAGACAAACATAAAATAGATACTAACATCACATTCCACAAGGAAGTAACGCGTTTCAACTTGTATTTTTATATAAATATTCACTAAAACCGATAATTAACCTACTACTAAAACTAGCCTACATGAATTTGATTTTTGCCTCACTTGTAACAGTTCGTTTGATATGAAACTATCATTCTATGCGTTATTATTTTAAGGAAAATTCTAATAAAGTATGGAAGTATAATCGCCGTTTCCACAAACGATTTTGGGCAGTAATGGGTTAAAACCCTGTAGATTGTGTAAATACCGGGTTTAAACCCGAACGGGTTAATTGTGTTTTAACCCATTGCCCATCTCAGCTCAGAACGGATAAAAGTTGACGTACTATAATGTGACTATCGGATGAATTACAAAATTATTACTCTCCGTCGGCGGCAGTCGAATAAAATGGAATGAAGTATAATAATAAATCATCTCTATCATTTCCGATTTGCATACAGGCAATAGTAATACCGAGAATGCAGTAACTGTATTAGAATAGCCGTGTGATGAAGTTGTAACGAGCGTCCCACATTAGTCGATTGGCCACCGTTATTGTAACGATTTTGAATCGATGTGGAGATTTAATCGATTTTTGAGTCAATTTAGTGCTATTGAAAATTGTTACAAATGGTGCGAATGTCACTCTAAAAGATTATCAAAGATGACGTAGTAACAAATAGGGAATTATTTGCTATAGTCCGTAAGAACGATACAACGCATGAGAATTGTGAAGTCACCGTTCGCCGAATAAAAAGCGAGGTTTATGTGTAGAAAATTAAAATTTTTTTCGGATTTAAATCGCGTGTATTTGTTTTTTCAGTCCCTTTACAGGCCCCATGGTCACAGTTGGCTAAGGTGGTAAAGTTATCCAGTTATATCTAAAATTAATGCAAACCACGTTATTTTTCACTATAGTTACAAAAGTTATTAATGAAATACCTTATTTTTAAATATTTTACAAGGAACTTTTGAATTTACGCTACGTATAGGAAATGAAACTATTTTTCCGGATTTAAATCGCGTTATATTTGTTTCTTCAAATCCGGAAAAATAGTTTCATTTCCTATGTGTAACAATCGCGAAAACCTAAGAACTCGTTACGCTACATATGTTTTACAATTATTTTATTTTAACAATATGATTTATTAACTAAATTAAATTAATTATTAATCAATAATGGAAATTAGATAAATTGTAACATGTTAATTAGTACTGCAGTCAATGTCTGTTTGGGATTTCTCTTGAAAGGTAATACTGGATCCCAAACTGGTGGTACAGAGAAACCATTGTCCTGTTGAAGCGATTTAAATCCGAATTTATAGTTTCATTTCCTTTAGGTAACAATTGCGAAAACCTAAAAACTCGATAGGTTTATGTTTTTTTTTAATACCTATTCAAATATCCTCAAAAAGGCTGAGACCCGAAGTGACAAGAACATCGAGTATATAACCAGAAACGATGGACAAGAATAAAAGAAGTTGTATGAAAAGTAAAGTATGTAAGGCTACAAAATTGTGTCAGGATTGAGTAAGGTGACGTTACGTGGGACAAGGCAATGAATTTATTTACGTATTCATAATTCTTCTCTTCTTCTTGTGACAACTCCTATCTGTCGGTTATCAGCGGTTGGCTAGCTTGAACTAATAGCTAAATAGATATTTAAAAAAATGTTTTTCAAACAAAACTGGGGGCATCTACTTGGGCCTGAAGGATGATATTTAGTACAGGATGGTATTTAGGCGCACGACTTGTTTGTCCCATCACTTCATATTGTAAAAAAAAAACACCACTTTTACATTGATAGCCACATTTAACTTTAAATTGTCTATTTCCTGTAGTTTTTAACTGCAAGGTATGTTGAGACACTCGGTTTTAGCACGTCGACTTGCTTCAGAGAGTTAATGTTATTATTTTTAACCGACTTCAAAAAAAGGAGGTTCTTATTTCGACTGTATTTTTTACGCGGTTAATGACGTGTGAACCGATTATGTTGATTCTTTTTTTTGTTGGAAATAGGGTCTACCTCAGTATTAGTCAAATTTCATTTGAAGAAAATATTTCACCTCTAAGGGTGGCAAACTAATAAATCCGGTTTCGCGCACTTTCCGGTTTCAATAAAACTTGGCAAATAGATGTAATTCCGCAAACTTTTGTGGTCGGTTTTTTTTAGTACTCTGTTCTGAAATTGTCAGATCTATAAATGTAATGTAATGTAATAATACATTAATTTATTTCTTTCCAAGTTTAACTCTACACTGATTAAGGCAGGAAACTCCTTTTAAGCACGGAAATGTCTGTGGGAGGGTACGTTCTTCTACAGCCATATCTATAGAACTAGTATTCCACAAAGTGTTGAGGTCGATTTTTTTTGTATAAAAAAGTTGAAACCGACCGCTAGTCGCACTCCTCTTTCTGGCTGTAAAATGATATCCAATAAAACTATATACCATTTCGCGAGGTCCAGGAACTAGCAGCTATCATGCCGAAGATAATATACCTTATTACCTTCGGCATAGGCATGTAAAACGTTTCATCAAAATAATTTCAGCTCTAGTCCTTATGATTACGCTTTGTAATGTTTCTTCAAATTCATAAACTTGTATAATGGCGACAAGAACTTATTCTATATTAAAATTTGTCGTCTTACATAATACGAATATATGTAGATTACGATGCGCTATGTTTGTCACGGAACAAAACTTGTTTACACGTTCAGTTCGGGAACAAAATTATCATTATTTGCTGTCCGGCGAAAAATATTTTCACATGGCCACCGGTGGTACGTCATCGCCCCATCAACCAAAACATATGTCGGGGCAGGGTACGCCTCCGGTGGACACGGCGAAGTTATGCTTTATTTTTTTCTAATTAACCTATTATCCTATGTAATTTTGTTTTGCCAGTTATGACAAATTTAGTTTTAATACAATTCGTCACAAATAATTTGCTGTATTTATTCTCGTTTTTCTATTAAGTACATTTTTAGTTCTTTATTCAAATAAATACTTTTTTAACATTGTTTTTTTTACTGTCTTACATGGTGCCCAACTCCTGAGATACACTATGAAAATTTTATTGTTGCACAGGAGCGTTAAATTTAGCACTTTCACTGAAGGCGACGTGGGTTTCTTAGTATACCAAAAATAAAGATGTTGTGTGACCACCGGTGGTACACTACGCCTAATGGACCAGCAGTTCGTGCTCCACCAGTGGTACACGCCGCGCTGGACGTGTTAATAAATTCCAGTTTCCGCACATACCCCCAATCAATAAGTCTTTACGCGTTGATGTGTTTGTATCTCGCAAATTGTGCCAACAAACCCAAGATAACTTTGATATACAACTCTCGTAGGTCATCTCTAGACCATTCGTCATTGTACATCGGCCGACCTATATCGCATACGATTACTTATGTGCGTGCACGGATGGCTTACATTCCGCTAACGTTCAAAAGATCGAACGTCATGGTAATCAATGTTGTCGTGGTAATCAATATGGGTATTAAAATGAGCATTTTGTTGAGTAGCTTGACGGGTTGATTACTAAGCGTCCCTTGAAATTTAACTTGCATGGTGGTTATCCACTTTCATGTCGTATCTCATACTATGATTTCCATGGTACTATTTTATTATCAACCTATATACAATCCACTGCTGGCACAGGTGGAGGCCCTAGAGATGTCTAAGGGGTTCGGACCGTAATCCACCACGTTCTAATCGAGCGGGTAAGCGACTACACTCAATTTTGGAGAGCTACGTGCATATTCACAATTCTATTCTTTATAAGTAACAATATTTTCGTGTTCAAAACACATTTGTACGCTGTAACGTCGCATATGTACACTATCTTTATTATTTCCATGTTAGTTTACTAAGCAATCCTATCCGTTGTTTGGTACCTTTACTTTGTACTACAGACACTTATGTCTAGAGTGCAATAAAGTATGTACTAAGTAACTTGAATAAGAAGACTAGATCGAATTACAAGTATAATATTTATTCATTCGTTTGTTGCAGATTAAAAATGCTGAAGTGGGCAGTTTACAAAAAGAACCAAGAAGTCCGGCCAAACTCTGAAACAGAGACTGAAAACGGTGAGCCGTATACCAACGGTCCTTACGATACCAAAATAAGGAGATCTTTAGACGCACAAACTATAAAGAAGAGCAAAAAGCCCAGTAGATATCAAAGGCGATCATTAGGATCAACTGCTAGAAAAAACAACGTTAAAACTATTGACAAAGAAAACATCAACTATGTAGGAAACACACCAAATTATTACAAAGAAGGTTTCGTCAAGAAACCTGAACTTTTAGCTCTTAAAGATGTCAGTAATATCACTCCTACTTCTGGAACTCCAGTGAAAAAATTTGAAAGGAGAAAGTACTATTTAAATGGTTCCAAAGGTGATATTCCCCCTGACCTACCGCCAACACCACCAACCTATAGCAGAAGAGTCAGAGAAGCCAAGAAAAGGAAATTAGAAATGACTAGCTCTAACAACGATATCTTTAGAAGAGATAGCTCGGCATATAAGTCTGAAAGACGAATCAATATTGACAGAAATCAATTGTCTACATCAAAGTTAAGCCACAGCACCTCTGAGCCCTTTTTAAGTGAGCTTTCAGATAGGCTAAGTGCAACAACAAGCAATAGTAGACATTCTTTTGCTTTACCCAAATCACATCATCCTATAAGCACTACAAAAACGACTAGCGAAGGCATTGTTGAAATTGAATATGATAAAGATTTAGTAATAAACTGCGTTGAAAAGCCTTTACCTGTCAGCACTGCTAGTGTAGAGAAAACAACACTACCAATATTTGGACACAATATGTTTATGAATAATCCTTTGTATTTCAACAAAACAGAAAGCCTAATGAGTATCAGACCGTTGAAGCGAACAAGGAAGAAATCTAATGAATTTGAAAGTTCTTTCAAATCTCCGTCAGTAGATAATAAAGATACTCATTCTTTAGTCAGAGATGCATGCTCCCCTGTTTCTATAACACCTTTATCTACAAAGTTGGCCGCTTTAAGGTTCAGTACTATGAGTACACATACCAAATCCCAAAGAACAGCATTCACCGACGATGTTACCGAGTATTTTCCAAAAATAGAAAACCCTTTTACTATACCTCTTAAAGATGAAGAATCCTCTGCTGAAATGGAAAATAAGTTTATATTAGGTAAAGATTCTACGACCAATGTGACAGAATCTACGGTATCTACTATATCCACAACTCAAATGGGAGATGTAACACTTGAAAAAATGATTGAAGATATTATTAAAAGTACAAAAATTGTAAAATCTAGACGGAGAATTCTGAAGAAAGAGACGGAAAATCTTAAAACTACAGAAGATAAAACTCCTCCATTAGAAACAATCAAAGATATTTTTGTTAACCCACAAGCAGAAAATAAAGCCAATTTAATCAAAGAAGCGAGATACGTCAATCTTTCTAGAGAAAATTCCATTTCGCCAAAGAATACCCCGACAAAAAAAATGATGCCAGTTCGCAGGGTCAACGATAAGCTTTTGAAGAATCTTCCAATTGGTTGTTTTATCTTAGATGATGGAGATGGCTACAATGAGAGAGAAGTAAGAACTCCAGACAGTTTTATCGAAGAAAAATCAAAAGAAAGGTCAAATGAAGGGAGAATTTCAACACTTAATAGATCGCAGTCAATGAAAGAACCAGCTGATAACGGGAACTTTAGGAATGCATCTACGGAACTAACACCCGATTTATTTTCAGCTGCAAGGGAAGCAAATATCCGATTAAGAAGACAAAGATGTATCAGAAGGAAGAAATCAACAGTCAGTAATGAAAGCATGAAACAAAAACTATTGAAATCTGAAGCATCCTCATTTCTCACTTTGGAAATGGGCATGCCAAGTCCTATGACAGAACTGCAAAACGTTTCTCTCTGTGAACCTTTAAGTCCGGCTTTCAATTACCTTGCACCTTCCCAAGTGCAAACCCACAATGTTTTGAACAGATCAAATGTATCACATAGCAGTTTGATGCCTGATGAACAGTATACCCAAGATATAAGGCCACGAGAACTTTTTGGGTTAACTTTAGAAAACGGTATTCCAAGTCCTATAACGCCTGTTCCAAACCTTAAAAGATCTAGTAATGTTTTGAGCGAAGAACGAGCGCATAAGACTAGTAAATTAGATGAAGATGTGATACCTCCTGATGCTTTTACTCCAATGATTGAACACAAATCTTCAAGGAGATGTCTAACATATTCTCCGGAAAGTAGCATCAATAGTAGTGCAGAGAAACGGAGAAGTGTGGCAAGTAATAAGCTTGACAGAAGTACAGATCGCTTCCAAGCTCTAAAAGGAACTATAAACTTGGAAATAATAACAAAAAATGACGTTATAGACGTGCACGGTGAGTGGTACTATCGACTTCCATTATTTACTGTTTTATTAATTGCGTATAAGATAAGATATTAATTTAATATGGTTTTCTTTCAGTGATCCGCTGTCGAGATCTGCAGAGATCTTCTGGAAAATCTGACGATATCAATGCTTATGCAAAGGTAAGCAATGGCTTTAGGACTGTTGGAAGTTTCCATAATGATCCAGTATATTAAATGCATTAAGTGTGATGTATTAAGCAAGCCTTGATTATTGATTAACGACAATAAAAATAATTATTATTTTGAGTTAACATTATTATTGTTTTTAATTTTAGGTCGTCATAAGCGGAGTAACAGAACAATCATTACCCTCTCAAAGGTCGATATTTCAAAGAACATCAGTCCTCTACGGAAAGAGGGAGCCGGAATTCCAGAGGCACCTGAAGCTTCCTCTGCCGAACACTATCTATGACCACCAGATGATACACATCTCTGTATGGCATAGGGATAAGAAGTACAGGTAAGTTTTCCATTTGCCCCTTGTACATCTACTTACTCACGTAACAGGAAAGTGGATATCATGTTTATCAAAAACAAGGTATGTTCTAAGTTATAGTATTTACTGTTTGCATTAAGCAAGGCACAGGATTTTGTTGATCAAAGATACAAAATAATAGGAATATCTTAATTATTACTTACAATACGACGTCCATTTCAGTGTCCAGAAATATTGCTTTAACATGGGATTCTTTAAAAAAAAAAACTTTATATAAAAAAGTCCAATTATGTAAAATGTTCTGCTATCAATTTTGCAAACAGAGTACTAAAATGTATCTGAGTTAAAAAGGTTTTTATAAATGTGTTAAATATTCCAAACTAAAAATAGAAAGGACAGCAAATAGATGACGGAATTAAACAAAAAGGGAACCGATAAACCAGAATGACCTAGTTCAGTCGCAAATAAAGATATTGGAGTTGAAAACCGTCTTTCTACTAAGGTAATAAAGTCTACAACTCAAGTTATGGAAATTATTCACACTACAAAAAAAATTAAAAGGTGAAAGTGCACATCAAGGAAACAACATTAAAAGGATGTAAATAGTAGAATTATGTCATGGTTAGAGATTTTTTAAACTTTTCCTGGATTCATACATAAGATATAGGGGCGAATGACGCGAGACGCGAATGAACATGCGCACAACGATCGATTGTCGCTCTAGGTCCCGGGCAGTTGCCACTCGGCAGTGGAGGACGCATGTGCCACCGATTGTCCATGCTACCCTGAAAAGCACGCATTTAAAATTTATTAGTGCTAGTGAGTGCTGTGTGTGGATATAGCGTGTGTGCTCCAGTTGATAGCCATTAAGTTTTATTGAAATTTGTGCGTCGATTTGTGCTTAGATAATCGGTAAGGGTCAACGCCAATTGACTAATGCCTTCGCATTTTAATCAGCATTCCGTTGAATTTATTTTACTTCACTCATTTATTCCAATAATCGTAACAAAACGCAACGTAGTTATCTCGACATTCCATGACAGATATCATACAAATTTATTTAAAGAAGAAACACAAAAGAACAATAGATAGGTATACAACGATACTAAGTACACACAGATACATAGAAACAAAAGTAATCATAGCCAATGTAAAATTCACACATTCACGTTGTGAAGGCGATTGCGTCTCAAACGAACACATGAACATTAATAATAAAAATACAACCTGGATATAGCAGTGGAAATGGACGAAGCAGTCTTGACCTAGATTATAAAGCAGGTAGAAAATTTATAAATAAACATGCCAGCGATACGTAGGTGTAAGTTAATAAATATTTAGAAAGGAGTATTTCCAACACTGAAACTAATTACTCTGCTGTCTGATTCGGTGAGTTAATTTTCACGTAACAGTACAAGGGTATCAGGAAATAGAATTTCTCTAGAACATTCTACAAATATTTTAGGAACACTGAATAGGTCCGTCCAAATTAATTATAATGGGGTACATTTCGATTATATATTTTCTTCCCAACTACAAAACATTAACAATCAAATTATTTTTTAAATATAATAGGTTGTTTGTTATCTTTACCGAAAACAAACAAAAGGGAACCATAATAATAATAAATCAAAAAAGTTACGCAATTATTCCTACTAGGTATCTGTTGTCAAATTAAAACACTTCGAGTTACTTATATAGTACCTATGAATCTTATGAATCATGAAGCTAATATAGCAAAGTTTCAAAACCCAACTTTTAAATACAGTCAAATCCAAGGATATTTCTTTGTGTTTAATCTTCGTATCAATAATAATAAGAAAGTTTGTTTTCAAAGTGTTTCCGTCACCGTCAATCGAACGTTAACCTCTTAAGTACTGCTTAATTATGCAGATTACCTAACCACCAAACCAGGTGGTTACCAAGTAATATCACTTGACATGTCTATTAATATTTGATATATTTCGCAAACAATCACCATGTATACACAGCATCCGTGACAAAGTATTTGCCTCGTTTGCCTATTCGACAAATACAATAAACACAAAAACTTGCGTTACCAAGCGCTGGTCAGTTTCTCGGTCACATCAAAGGAGCCATATAGGCAAATACGCAAGTAAACCACCCACACTATGGTCATATCATTTCAACTTCTTATTTGGCTCCATGTGTAAACGGACATATTTGTCAGTGTCTGCATGTTTGACTGTACGTCAAATATTTTTCCAAGTACATCAAACACACAATAGCGTATACAAGTGGCCATGTGAAGTGCCGTCATCAAAGATTGACATCGTCATCACAATGAAAAAAAAATCAAAAACAATAACAAATTCAGTAACAAAACATCAGATAAGAAACCAAGAAAGAAAAATGCAAAATGTTCCCGTTGGATATTGATAAATTTAATTGGAAAAACGAATAACCAAATTCGTTTACTCTACGCCAAAGTAATTGGTTTTATTATTACCAAGCGCCGGGACGAACGTGTCAAGTGTTGGAACGTACCCAATCTTCGCACCCGATGTAATATTAAGGCCACATTTGCAAAAATGAAAACTTTTCAGGAGGTTTAAAAATTCTACAATGATTAATCGATATATTTTTTATGCTTATTAAGGACATGTACATAATTTCACATATATATCGACGCTGGAAAGATAAAACGTCTAACGTGCATTTGGAAAATAATACAGGAGATAAATTGAAAGTATTTTTTTTAAGAAAAAAATCATAATCTAATTATATTTGTTTGGAAAACTAGAAAGTTTCGAAAGTTAGAAAATTTCGCCAAAACATCAATGAAATTCTCGATATAAATATAGTGTGTTCTGATATGTTTTTATTTTTGGTAAATTTTTACGATGTTTCCTGATTTAGTTAGATTTGTATTGCAAAGGTTAGGTCACGTTAAATAAGATAAAGAAAAGTTTTAATTAGGAAATGAATCCATGACAAAATTTAATTAAGATTGAAGTACAGCTGACTCGGGTACGATGTTTCCGACTCCACTTATAGCCCTCACGACGGAATTATTTTCTTTAATTACCTACTACTTACATACTTACTTACTTACTTCGCTGGCTCAGCGGCTCGAAGTGGATCTTGACCTCCGACACTAACATGCGCCACTCGTCTCTCTTCTGTGCCGCTTGTTACTAATCAGCTATTCGAAGCTCACACAGGTTTTTGTGGACTTGGTCGATCCAGCGACATCCAGGATATCCAACCGGCCTTTTGCCAGTCGGTTGCCTCAGATATGCTCTCTTGACAGGAAGATCTTCACCCATCCTCTCGACGTGGCCAAGCCAGCGAAGTCGGGCTGACTTGTTCTCTCCCATGATGTTAGCCTCGTTTCCCAGATTCTCGATCTCTATATTTGTCCTTATTCGCCAGGCTCCATCCTAGTTGGTCTCAGAATCTTCCTAAAGATTTTTCTCTCTGGTCACTAAGAGCTCGTTCTCCTCCTTCAACACTTCAACGTGAGCGTTTAGGCTTTGCATCCATACATCAAAATTGGTCTAATGACTGTCTTATGGACCCGAACCTTAGTTCTACTAATTAGCTTGGACACCTTACAATTATTACCCATTACGTATAACTTAATTTCTAACTTAAGTACATTTTGTTAATGTTTAGTAAGTACTAATATTGCCCACTCTGTCAGAAACAAGAAGTAGAGTAGAGCAGTAGAGGTCCTGGTGAAAGAGTTGGTCCAGAGAAGTACTGCCACCTTACCTTTTTCTGCCGCCAAGCAGTAATTTCTGCTAGCGAAATTACAGGCACATGGAGCTTGTCAATTTGTCTCGGAGTGACGGGCGCAGTGGCAGTGCCCCTCAAATCTTTGTGATTTAAAGCTCTGAATGGCACTGCAACTGTTATGGACAGACGTGCCTGGTGTTCGTATCGTCACTTAATATTATAAAAAAACAATCAATTTGCATTTTGGTAACTTTTGAGATATTGGCACCTAAAGTTTGTTTTGTCTTTGCAAAATATCCACTGCGCTGATTTTAATTAACAATAAAACTGAAACCAAGTAAGGCATTAAAAAACCGTTTGTAGAGGGTTTTAGATCTCGTTTTGCTAATTTCAGATATGTTAATAACTCAATCTCGTAAAAACGTCGATTACGTTGTTTATAATAAGGATGGCAGAAAAGCTTTCGTTTACTGTGGGAAACATTGTGAATGAAACCTGATTATCTAAGAACAGTCCTTGGAAAGCGTGTGAAGTACCCAACCACAATTGGACTAGCGTCGCTAACTATGATCTAAACCCTGTCCTTAAAGTCTTTTTCAGGAGATTGTTTTCATGACAGGAAACATACAAAGCTTGCAACGTTTGCGAGGAATAACAGAGATTATTACAAGTTATCTTTGGATATTGGACCATAACCGAAACCCTCTACTTAGAAAAGGCTCTTGGTCACCAGTGATTCGTCAATGATACAATCTCAAGTGACCATCTTAGTCCTGTAATTGTTTCTTTAAAATAGTTTTACGAGTGGCGGCTGACAAGTAATTTCTTATGACTATTTCCAATTCAAAAAGAATATTGGCTAATGTCGTGATGCATTTCTAGTTTAACCTTTTTCCAAAATTAGTGACACTCTTTGGTTTATTACGTTTCGCTTTACACGGACAAAATGGCGGAAAAAAAAGCAAAATGTTTAAAAATCAGCAACAACTTTTTTTAACAGACACTTTTGTAACTTTTAATAATTCCTGACCTAACAAATAAAAATAAATATAAGTCCATTTCCTATTTACATTGGAAATGTAAACAGGAAAAAAAGTAACCACAGTGGTCTATTATTTCATGCACAGCGCTAGTACATTACATAAATATCGTTGTAGATTTGTTGTACCTATGTAGATTACTTTCAACCGCCCCTCTATGTTCGTGTTCCTTTGCATTGTTTATTTCTTCGTTTGAATGAAACAGTAAGCAGAGATTTTTAACTATCTGTTCATTACTGGGCACCACGATGGATCTGGTTACGGCACCCTCTACCCTTTACT